CTAAACCCTAAACCCCAAACCGAGATACTGGAGCCTCCTTGGTCGCCCTCCTGACTCGGGCTCCTAAAAGGACTATGTCTGCCATCTGCCATGCCCATTCCAGGAAAAGGCCATGCACCAGAGTTGCTGGAGCTTTGCTTGGTCCCCTTCCTAGGTATGCGGAGAATCAAATGGAAAAGAAAATGAAAAATGAAATGGAAACTGGCTGGTATATAGGGCTTCCCAAAATTAGGGGTCCCATTTTGGGGGTCCCCTTCATAAGGATTAGAATATGTTGGGGTCTATTTTGGGGTCCCTCTATTTTGGGAAAATACCATATGGCCATATGGGGTTATACGGGGGTTATACTTGGGATAGTGGAAAATAAAATGGAAACTACTATTTAGGAGATGTAGGGTTTGGTTGAGGGTTTAGCGTCAGATTTTATTGGCTTCAGAGGGCCTAGGGGTTGAGCGCAATGAAAACTCAACATGATGTTCAAACTAACCCTTGCTTCTTCAACGCATCTTTGAAGGCGCCAAAAAGATCTGGAATGTGAAAGGGAAGATCGTCGATTGACGGAAGCTCGGATGCCGGAACAGGCTTCAGCATCCCTGGCACAGGGAGCTTGAACCTTCCGGCTCACACCACGGAGCTACATGAAAGTAGCAACGATAGAAAAATAATACTTACAATGACACCATAGGAGCAAAATTTAACTTATATTGGTAACATGGTAACAATCATGATACGAGTACGCCACAGTCTCCCATTTTCGCTCCAAGCCTCCAAGAATTCCCCCCAGCCCTCCAGGTAATGGCAGCCGCGACTGCCCCGGCATTGTGTCTCCCACGTTAATGTTATTCGGCTGTATGGCCAGTATGCAATTGGTACCCTGGCCGTATTCGCGATGCACCGGGATGAACATCTCCCTGACAGGCAGCTCAAAAGGGCGTCCTGAGATGAATATCCGAAGAGGCGGGAGGTCGCGCGATCTTTCGAGGATGGAGCAGTCACAGTAGACTGGTTCAAGCTCATAACACAGATCGTCGTACCTCATTTGAATGACATTCAACTCCCTTGCCCCAGGCAAGCAAAATGATCCAACATGGTTCCTGCACGTTGTGCAGGCTCTCTCTCTCTCTCTCTAGCTGCCAAGGAATGCTAGGGTAAGTTGCGGACAGACGTTCTGGCAGAACCGACTGCATGATGCTGGTGTAGAGCTTGCGTGGTGCCAGCAAGACTTGATTGGTGCCTAGCAGCAGCAGAAAGTCTGCAAAAGAAAGCCAGGCAAAAGCGCCTGCCTGTGTCCACGAGGAAACGGGCTGAATGTGGCTTCTTCTTGTGAACAGCAATGCCACCTGTGATGAACCAGAAAGTCTTTTTGCCTTCAGGGCTGAGCGGTCTGCCCCGGCCAAACCACGTAACATTCATAAAACGAAAGTTTCTAAATGACAAAGCTTGCCCGCTGCGATGCCAACAAAGTGCACTTTACGTTTAGGCGGTGAACAAGACTTCGCACTGTCAAGGCCGCAGCTACGGAACATCCATAAAGCTTGAAAAATCACACAGTAGGGTGTCAACGCTATCGCCTCTGAGTTGGGTCCCCAGTAAAAGAATGACAACCCACCGTGGCAGAAGCTCTGTGACCGTTGAGGTGCCAGAGAGGTAGTATCGAAGTTGCCTTCCACCCACCCGACATACCGCCCTTCCCTTCTTCCTGTAAAGCATGCTTGGGCATACCTGTAAGTTGCACGGACAGAGGGGGTGGGGGGAAGGATGGACCAGGCGAAGCCACAGGTGGCGTACAGCGGCACTGAGAAGTTGGAGTTAGTTGCGTTTTTTGTGACTTCTCTAGCACTCCGTCGAACTACACTTCCTCTTACTATTCTCATTACTACTAATATTATTCCTACCATTACAATAGTATGATTATTAATATCCCAACCAGCCTTCAGGGAAAGCCTTCTCAGCATCTGTCCACACCACTGTCCCCGGCTGAACGGCATGCTGAGGGAAAGGACCCACATAAAGGCGTGCAGATGTGCTGTCCTCCGGCACAAAGGTGTACATTGCCTGTCAGGCCGGGTAGCTGTTAAGGAACTGAAATTAAGTTACCAATAATGGGTATATAGCGTATCTAGGGTTTAGGGATACCAGAATGGGCTTTAAAAAGTAAATAGTAGGGTTTCCCGAATATGGTGACTTAGGAGGACCCCCCACCCTGAAATAGTGGTATAGTAGGAATATAATAGGACTCTAATATAGCCCTTATTATCCCTTATAGCCACTATGACAGGGTGGGGGGTCCACCTAAGGTCTACCTAAACCCTAAACCCTAAACCCCTAAACCCTAAAGCTAAGTTCCTTAACAGCAACCCCGGAGGTGACAAGGAGTGCATGTCGAGCATTCTTACAGCTCTATTTCTTACTCTTGCGAAACATAAGTGCTGACTAAGAGTGTAAGGTTTAGGGTTTAGGGTTTAGGGTTAGAGGGATGTAAGTTACAACCCGGTTATAGACGGGCGTTTTCCTGCCAGCAAAGATTCAACCCTAAAACCAAGAATAGTAACAATACTAACATCGTAGCAGGAATGAATATAGTGGTAACATTAATGATAGCAATAACACTTAATGATAACACAAATATTATAACAGGAAGTATCAAAGTTACTGATGACAAGAATAACGCTAATCCCTAAACCCTAAACCCTAAACCCTAAAGCCCTTAAACCCTAAAGTAACAACAATGGCCCTACCCCTCAAGCCTTGGAGCCCATACGTTGAAGATTTGAATACAGTGGACGGCCCATCTGCGCAATGGTGTCCCATCCAAACCCGCAGATTCCGTCCCATTCCTTACCGCTTAGAAGTATGGAAGGGAGGAAGGGATCCCTACAGTAGCCCCCTAAACCCATTAGGGACCCTAAACCCCAAATCCTAAACCCTGTATAATCCCCAAGAATACACTAGTTTTAAGTGCCTTGTCCATTGCCTCATTCCCCTACCCTACACCCTGAACCTTATCATCCCTATAAGCTGATCCCGAGATAGGGTTTGGGGTATAGGGTTTAGGTTGGGTACTGCCCCCACCCAGTAACAGTCTATATTAGGGGTCCTATTAAGGGCTATATATAACCATATTATACTTGTTATCCAACTGTTAGTGACGGGGGGCATATATGTATCCCTACCCGATGGTGGTTTCCATGTTCTGTCCATACCTTCCGAACAACCAGCAATAATGCTCATTATAGGACCCCCAAACGGGCACCCTAATTTTAGGAAACCCTAGACCCTACAAGTCCCCATATAACCCCCTAAACCCTAAACCCCTAAACCCTAAACCCTTCAACCCTAAACCCCTAAACCCCTACACCCAAGGTTCACGATTTTCAGGCAACAGCTCGTCTTCAACGATGAGGAAGCTCTGGTTGTGGATTGTACGTCCTCAAGAACCCTTAAACCTGGTTCAGGGTTTAGGGTATAGGGTTTAGGGGGTCAGGGGGAAATTGTACGTGGGTTCATAGGGGGGATAACTAAGGTTCCAACGTGGGTTTTTAAACTACTACTCAGTCCCCCTGACCCTCCAAGTAAACCCTACACCCACAAAACAAAATTTAAGACTTGGGCCATCCTCCCGCTCACAACAGATTCTGACCAGAAGGGATGCTGGCAATCCGTTTAAGGTCCTCGCATATTGCCGCTGAGTCCTGTTCTACCCATATCAGTGGGTTGGGGGGGGCCACCTGGATTGCTCTACTTCCTTCGACAAGTGGTCCTGCGAAGGTGACAGTGTCTTGCGCCTCGTAGCCAAGGATTGTCCCGCTTCCATAGCTGATTTGCATCGCCCGAGGGGCATAGCCCTCAGGTGTCATGTGCAAAGCTGGCAGGAACGTCGACGACTTGTTGGCATTGAAGCGATGCTCGATGTGCTTGCAAGCTTTGCACAACTTGGACGGGATCCAGAGGTCCGAACTGCCTGTGTCCAGGAGGCACGTCATCTTCTGCGGCGGGGTGCCCACAAAAATTTCTGCAATCAGAGCGTGATTTCGCTCGATCTTCAAGTCGAGCTCCTGCCTCTCCTTCACACGGGACACACCCAACACTGCAAAGCCATCAAACATCTGACAGTCCTGAAATGAAAGGGGCCCCATGTCTCATGGCACATGTTGCAACACTACAGGGACCCCGCTGCATCTCAGGATGTTTACTTTCATCCTGGTTCTGCTTGAGTGGTTTATTGCGGGCAGTATGACTGCAGTTCTTTGTCTACTCCATTTGGGCGGCTAATGTCCGTGACAAACTTCTTTAATTGACTTTATACACAAGACCTCACTGCCTCGCTGCCAGAAAAGAGGATGCGCTGTTTTCAGAGCCTGCATTGTGCCTTGCACTTTCCGAACCAAAGACTTTCCACACAAAACATCCACCTGCTCAACTTGCACAATCTCGCACAATAGGCTTGACCCCAATCTTATTCTACAGGGCTCATAGTCTCCTGCAGACGGCCCCCGGTGTTCGCATCCAGGCTCGGATAATGCGAGTGATGCTGCAGTGACACCACATCGTATTGTCCGAAAACGCTGTCTGCGAGCAGAAGCACCACGAGCACCGGGGCCATTGGGGCCATGGTTGGGGAGATGCCTTGACTGTTCATGATCTCAAGCCCAGATGACAGCTAGCAACTCTTTCGAACTATCTATCTTGAAGTCATTCTTCGGGTTTAAGGACATTCCATCTATATATCCATCTCAGCTCTATGTTATATAACCATCCTCGGATTGACATCTAAGATGCTCTCAGTCACAAGACACTTCTCTCAACGCTGGGAGCCGCAGTTGACATCAACGAACGCGTTACTGAGACACTACTTGGGGATTCAGGGAGACTTAGGAAGTATGTTAACAAGGGGGATAGCTAGGGTTACTATGTTGTGGGTTCCAGATGCCATTAATCTACTTAGTAAGTCCCCCAAGTTTTCAAAGGGATATAGAAATTTTATCGGGATAGATGGGTTTGACCTAGTTGCTGCGTTCCCTTGCCCCAAGAAGCTCAACCTTTTCATTATAGGACTATTTATACCCCAAAAGGTTAAAGGTTGCCTACCCCGCTCCTAAGTTGAGGGCTTGGGGATGAGGGTCCAACCCTAAACACTTAACCCTAAACCCTAAACCCTAAACGCAGGCTACCCAGACTCGTGGGGGTCGCTTTTGGCGGTTGAGGACACATAGCCGGACCCTGGTTCTCTGGGTTCTTGGAAACAGCCCTCTCACATATGTATATATATATATATACATACACACACATACGCAAAAATAGAGAGAGATGTACATACATATATATGATGAAAGCAGACATGTACATATGTACAATCATGTGTATACATGTGTGTATACCCTGTATATATGATTAATATGTATGTTGGCGTCAGGCCACAATCACAACACGTCCCGGCTAAATTGTCAGAGACCAGTGCCACTCCAACTATCTCCGCCCATTGCTTTCATGGCTGTACGGTAGCCTCAGTGTCGTCCCAGTACTTCCTCAGCTAGGCATGTACGATTTCACCTTTAAAAGACACTGTGCAACGATGCGTTCTTGTGAGAATTGCTCAACACTGCAAGTCCGTATGAGGTACAGTCAATATTTCCTACATGCTTTAATGGACATTGAGTTCTTATTAGGGACTCAATTTGGGGCACTATACTACTACACTACAAGGGTCCCTTCATAAGTCTAATATTGACAGTGGCTCATGTGTAGGATTATTCTGGACAAAGCCTCAGCGGATCAAGTACAGCTACACTGATCGTCAAAACAACAATCCTAATTGCAGCTACAACATGGACTTTGACTTTTGGTAGTTTTCCAAAATTTGGGGACCCTAACATAGACCCCAAAATACGATAATCCTTGCTATTTTGATGTGACTGCCGACCTCTTCTCGCTAGCTAACCTGTTGAAAGTACACTACTCATTTGCAAAAGTCGCGCTCTAACTGACACCAAGGTGTGGCCATACCTTCACCAAAAATTTCTTGAAACCCCTCTGTGCATGTCGAGAGTATTCTAAAAGCAAAACTTGAGAACGAAAGCTTAAGTAACGCTCAGAAACATCTCTTCGTATTTGCTTTCATTTTTTTGTATGGCTGTAAGCCATTCGCTCTGATACTCACACTCCACAGCAGGCACCTTTTCTCTAACGGACCTTGCCCAGCTTAAGCGTCGCATAGCTGCACCAAGCAGAGCTGTGGTCTTGCATGCTCGCACACTTCAGGGGAATCTGATTGGGTGAGTGAGGATAGCGCATCTAGCAATCTAGAGTAGGATAAGTAGGTGTTTAGACTTTAGCCTCTGCGAGTGCACAAGGGTGTGTGGGGCTATGTTTCTGGTCTGGTTCAGGGCTGAGCCACACTCCGCAGGCACCGCGCTTACGAAAGCGCTCAGAAGTACGAGCTGAGCTCAGCATCCTGCACAAGTATTGAAACTGAAATCAAGCCGCGACTAGACTTATGACACTAAAGCCTTAACCCTAAATAGTAGTTTCCATTTTCTTTTCCATTATCCCAATATTGCCCTCTAAAACAATATATACCCTATTGTAATACAGTAGTTTCCATCTTCTTGTTCATTATCCCCATATAACTCCAAGATACCCTATAATGATTTAGTAGTTTTCATTTTCTCTTCCATTACCCCAACGTAACCGCAGTATGCATACAGCCTATAATCCCTGTAGTTTGCATTTTCTTTTCCATTATCCCTATGCAACTCATTATATACCCCCACATAAGCCCTGCATAACCCCCTAAATAATCCCAGTTTCCTTTTCCATTTGATTCTCCATTTTAGTGGGTATATACCCTATATATCCCTTTAAATGGACCTAGGGTCTCCATTTCTTTTCCATTAACCCTATATAACCCATTAAATACCCTGTATGTAACCCCTAGACCCTAAACCCTAAACCCCATAACCCTAAACCCTAAACCCTGTAACCCCAGTGTATCCCCAAATAAATCCAAATCCTGCTTGGCCAGCTCCAGAAGCATCGGATCGTCAAAGAACTTGTGAACCGACACGTCCTCCAGATGGGGTAATATGTTGGTATAAATTGGGGCTACATGGTTTAGGGTTATAGGGTGTGGGGTTTAGTTTTTAGGGTTATAGGGTTTAGGGTTATAGGGTTACATATAAGGTATATAATGGGTTATATAGGGATAATGGAGAAGAACATGGAAGCTACTATATCATAATAGGGTATAAATTGGTGTGATAATGGAATTTCAAAATGGAAACTACTAAAGGGCTTCGTCTTCCGTTTGCAGCAACCCAGGTCACTACATAGCCTCATAATAGGCACATATATTTATGCATATGCATGTGCTCGTATGACGGGTATGTATGTGTATACATATATATATATGAGTATACACATGTCTGTATCCTTCGGATGCAAAAACTACTCGAAACTACTCCAAGAGCCCACTTTTCCATTATCCCTATATAACCCCAATATAACCAATTATAGTAGCTTCCATTTTCTTTTCCATTATCCCAATATAACCCCAGTATACACCCTATAATCCCTATANNTTTTCTTTTCCATTATCCCTACCTATATAACCCCAATATGTACCCTATAATCTCTATATAACCCCTATAATCCCTGTAGTTTCCATTTTCTTTTCCATTATCCCTACCTATACAACCCCAATATATTCCCTAGTTTCCGTTTAATTTTCCATTTTCTTTTCCATTTGATTCTCCATTATAGTAGTTTCCATTTTCTTTTCCATTATCCCTACCTATATAACCCATTGTCCGGAGTCTCCTCGCTCAGGCCCTTTCGCCTCCGCATTTTCAGCATAAACTCACGGGCCAAGTGTGGCGCCGGAGCGGGCTCTAGCGGTCGCCTCACACAGGAATGATAATTGGGTTTCAAGGTGGGGTAGAAAAAGGCCCCAGCTTGACTTCTACATACTTCTACTGCCGCTACTACTGCTGCTGCTGCTACTACTACTCCTCCTACTCCCTATACTACGACCACACCACCACCACGACGACTACTACTACTGCTACTGCTACTACTACTACTACTACTACTACCACTAATGCTACTATGACGACGACGACGCATCGCAGTTCGTTGGGCCCCAGAAATGATAACTGCACCTAACGAATCACAGCACGCCGGCAGCAACCAATGGGAACCGGGTCACAGCAGGATCGAGCGATCCAGCGGGTCACCAGGAACGTGCTCCCAGTGGTCGAAGAACGTCTGGCACATCGCCTGATCAGTGGACAACTTGACTGTAATCCCCTTGGACCTCATTTAAAACGCAGTTCCTTGGGGTTACACTAGTTAAGTCGTTAAGTATTTCCGCTTTGCTAGCCAAGTTGACATCATTCTTGGCAGAGAAAGACGGGTGGTTACATAACAGGAGGAAAACACCGTCTGCTTTCGGCTTTAATGAGGATACTAGCAGGAAAGATCTCATTGAGACACTGTTTGTTGCAGGAGGAAATCCTGAACCATCATCACCACCCGAAGTCAACTACTTTCTGAAAGCATGCGTAAGACATGCTACATCAACAGTTCTACAGGCACTGTAGGAGTAGCACCCAAAGGGCAGGTCCACCCCGCCTGTCCAGACGTGTGCGTTCTGAGATCCGTCTCGAAGCCAAAAGACTCCATGGCTGGCAGATACGCATGGACCTTGGGACAGCAGATCTGGTCAGGAAGCACACAGCGAGTGCCTTCTTCTCGTGGTTCTTGAACGCCAGGGTGAGACTTCAACATGCTCTATGCACGGCGCAACTGAACAAACAGCCAGGAATTCCTGGACACCTGCTGGCCGTTGAGCCATAGTCTAAACCCCTAGTATCCTCCATAGTAACCCCTATAGTAGCCCCCTATATATACATATATATATATATATATTATTTTATATATATATACACCCCACATAGCCCCCCTTTAAGGAGTTTAGACTATAGCTCCGTTAGCGGCATCCATGGTCAAGGCTCGCACCGAGTACATGGGGCTGCCGGGCTTGGGAAGATCTCGGATGACATGGCCACGCCTGCGCCGGGGGTTACTAGTAATACTACTAGTAATAATAAAAGAAATACTACGAATAATAATGATAAGAATAACAGGAATAAAAAATAGTACTAGTAATAGTAATCAGAATAAGAATAAGAATAGTAAAAGCCCGCTGCTGCAGGCTTTGGCAAACTCTCCCACTGCCTCCTAGAGAGTACGTTGTAAATGGCGGCCACGCAGTCCGCGGGGCACTCAATGTCCGAGAACCTAAGGCAGCGTACAAGCAGTACAATGAAGGGTGGCTGCCAAATCGCGGTATTGCAGTCGACTCACTCACACCAAAACTGTCATCATCGTCGTCGTCATCATCATCATCACAGTCAGCCCTCTTTTCCGCCTACCATGACGCCTCGTCCTGCTGCTACTACACTCACCACAAATACTCCTGTTGTGTTGAGGGTACTTCACAAACCGGGTGTGGTCCCCCTTGAATATGCCAAGAAGTTGTACTTAATCCTGGCAGCGACTAGACCCACCACTTCCGGATTCCCTGAACCCCAATCCCAAAACCCTAAACAATGCACCCTTACATGACCACTATGTCCCCTATAAACCCCAAACCTTAAGTGCAATCAAAAACTGAGGCGGCCAACATCACTGGCTCCATGAGCCGCGGAGTTGCCAGCAGGAAGGCTGAATATGCCACCTCAGCTTAGGGCTTAGAGCTTAGGGCTTCCGGCTTCTTCTTTTTTATTCAGGCCTTTTTCCTCTAAGCCCTTAACGTTAGGGGGTAGTGTGCAGCGTTTATGGTGTTTATTGTCGTGGCCCGTCCGCGTGCACAAACGTCGCAAGGTCCTTTCTAAGACGCCGCAGATCTTCAGCGCTCAAAGGTTCAGGGTGCCGAGTTTAGGTCAAGGCTTCTAATTCTTTTATGGTTTAGGGCGTTGGATTCAGGATTGCTTTGGAATGAGGGTTCAAGGGAGAACTGTGAAAGGGTCATAGATACATGGAGAATTTGGTGTTGCAATTGCAGGCATATACGTAATAAACACCTAGTTGCTTGGTAGAAGCCTTCCAAAGTCCCACGTAGCATCGTTGTGCGCTGCCACTTGAATTCCAAGAACCCGAGCCCCTCACGCGCCGGGCCGTGGGAATAATCTGACCTGAGCATGAGTTGTGGACCAAGCATCAGGGCATGCCTGAACCGTAAACCCTAAACCCTAAGCAGAATCAATGGTCACCCGTCTTGGTGCCTGCAGCAGCAGTGCATATGAGTAGCGTTTTTTTTGGTGGTTAAACCCAGTAAGATTGTATTTCTTGTATAAAATACCATACCCCAAAAGGAGGATAGAATCTTACTCTATATTGGGTACCATAGTACCCCCATATAGAATACTACTCACATGTCCATACTATGGTAATATAGTAGTTTCCATTTTCTTTTCCATTATCCCTATATAACCAAAACACCATAACTTTGACATAATATAGTAGTCCCCTATGTAATCCCCTATATAACCCCCCTTTAAGGAGTTTCGACTATAGCCCCTAAATAGCTTCCATTTTCTTTTCCACTCCCACCAAAATGGCTTCATTTAGGGCTTAGGGTTTATAGGGATTACATAGGAATAATGGAATTTTTGACAACCACTCATATGGACATCTTTCGGCCCAGCGGCCTCCGCCACGGAGCACTGCATCCTCTGCCATCTGGGCATTGAGGATCTTGAACTTGCAGCTACGAATCTTCTCCTGAGTCAACAGGTTTAGGTTTAGGGTTTCGGGTTTAGGATTTAGGGTTTAGGGTTTAGGGTTTAGGGTTTAGGGTATAGGGGTTTCCATCAAAAAAGGGAACCCCATATAGAACCCAATATACTCTACGCAATCTATTTTACAGGGAGGACCTCCTAATAACCCAAATGTCTCCGCTTTTCTGTCTTCAACAGCTGAGCTGTAGTCTAAACTCACATCCCCTTAGTGATCCCTAAAATGGTCCCCTATAAATGTTGCTATATACCACCCTTTAAGGAGTGTAGTAGCCTAAACTCCAAACTCGATATAACCCGCTTTTAAGGGGTTTAGATCCCTAGACCCCCAACCCTACATAACCCCTTTAAAGGAACTATAGCTCACCTGAGGGCGGGACATCGCAGAGGGGACCTTCTTTTGTGGCCCACTGGAAGCCCTGCACCAAGCCTCGAGCACGCCACAGACGGCACATCAGGCCATTTGTTTAGGTGGTTGGGGTTTAGGGTTTAGGGATCAAGGGTTAGGGTTCAGGTTTTAAGGTTTGGGGTTTAGGTTGTTTTTGTTTTATCGGACCTTTTCTCCAAGGCACGAAATCCCTAAAGATACCATTTCGGCACGGCCCAGGGTAAGCCCAAGCACTCACGGGTGTAGGGGTTTAGGGTTTAGGGTTTGGGGTCAGGGTTTAAGGCTTAGGCTTTTTTTGCGCCGAGGCCGGAGGGAGTATGGTTTGCCCCCCGCTAACCCCACCTTCCAGGCCACCAGAATTGTTGTTATTATTACTATTATTATCATTTCTGTTTTTGCTGTTTTTATTTGTATTGCTATTGTTAAAATTTGTTATTGGTATTGGTATTGTAATACTATGTATCCTCTTCTTATTATTTTTGCTATTATTATCGCCTCAAAATCTGACTGCTCCGTCCAGGCCACCTTGCCAAGGCGGCCCTTTTCGCCAGCGGGAGAATGAAGGCGGTTAAGTTAGGGTTTAGGGTTTGGGGTTTGGGGTTTGGGGTTTGGGGTTTAAGGTTTGGGGTGTATGGGTTTAGGGTTTAGGCAAAATTGTTGCCGTTTTTGGCCTCAGTATGACATGGCCCCATTTTCTTAAGGTGCCCAAAATGCAAACATAATTCTGCAATGGCATGGCCCCTGACATTCATGGTACTCGAACGTGGGCCATAATTTTGATGACCCCCCATCTGATCCCTATATAAACCCTATTTGAACCCTAAACCCAAAAACCCAAAATGGACCGTGCTTTTGATAACACTCCATCTCACCCTGTCTGAGGTCTCGACTGTCCTTGCTCTGCACCAGCAGGCTCTTATTGACCTTCAACTTGCTGGTTTAGGGTCTAGGCCTGGGACAAGAGAATTGATCCTAAACCCTAAATCCTAAACCCTAAATCCTAGACCCTGAATCCTAAATCCTAAAACCTTAACCCTAAACAATGCAACTTGGGGTTTAGCTAGGTGCTAGGAGAGTTTACACTGCGGTGCTGATCTGTTGCCCTGATGCCTCGCTAGGTAGGCAGTCGTCCACCAGGACGTTGGGCCCGTTCACCTTTCAAGAAGCTGTCTCCAATCTTTTTTTTATGGTGTCTCTTCTCCATGGCATGAATGTCCACGGAAATGTTACTTAACACAGAGACAGGGTTTAGGGTTTAGGGACTCTCGTCTCAAACGGTAGTGTTATCTATCAGAATATGTTCAACGGACTCATCCCTTCATGCTTAGACCCCACCAACGCGAATATTGAATATTCCCCAAAAGAGGCCTGACATGTTGGGAAATATATTCAATCTCAAGGGTGGGAAATGTTTGAGATTTGTATCGAAGAAATACGAAATATGAACTGGTCATGACTTACTTACTGGTTGTTAGTAGGAACTATGTTAATACAATCCATATGTAGCCCTTTTATAATTATACATATTATTCACCTATTCCCTACTAAGAGGCAGTAAGCTTAGACCCTAAACCCTACATCCTAAACTAGAAGTTTCCATTTCTTTTCCATTATAACCCCTAAAATATAGCCCCTATAATACCCTCAACCCTAGACCCTAAACCCTAACCACCTGACACTCTTGTGATCTCTAATGCTCGCAATTCATCGAGATGCAGACCTCTGGACCAAATGCCCAAACAGATCTGGAGGCCAAAAGGTCCTGCATGCTGTAGGGAAATTTTAGGCTTTAGGGTTTAGGATCTAGGGATATAGTAGGTATATATTAGGGATATACGGGGTTGAGGTTTTAGGAGTGGCGAATCAGACGGAAAATGAAGTTGACACCGGGGCTTCATTCTGGGGATTGCTGGCAATGTAGACCCGTGATCAATAAACCCCCGCCTTTAAAACGCCTTAATATTAGGATCCCTATTTTAATCCCCATTAAGGGGAGGGGCTTCTTAATTAGGGGTCTACATAAACTCTTCCTGTCACTACGGTCGGTGTTCAAGCTTCACAGTAGGCAGCTGATGCGGCTTCGCAGGGTCCCAGTCGTAGTTCTTGGTGAAGAAGTCGCTCATCCGTCGCTTATTCCACTCAATGCTGACCTGTCAGCAGATTTGCTAGTTTCCCAATACAAGGGTAACCCAAATATGGGAGCCCCAAAATAGTGCAAGCCTTGTTATGGGGACCCCCCAAAAGGGTACCCCTAAGTTTGGGAAACCTAGACCCTAAATAGTAGCTTCCATTCTCTTTTCAATTATCCCTATAACCCCCATATTACCCCAAATAGAACCCTATATAATCTAAACCCTAAACCCTAAACCCTATATAATCTTAGAACCCATTTCCGGTCGAACATCCTTGCAGCCGCGCAGAACCCGGCCTTGCCCTTTTCGATGTCCTCCCCGAGGCCCTTCTCCAAAGGCTCAGCCACCATGTAGATCCTAGGTAAACATATATGGGGGATCGTCAAAATTATGGTCTCTTTTTGGGTCCCTATTATAAT